CACATGTTAGGTCAGTGTTCTTCTGCTGAACCACACATGTTAGGTCAGTGTTCTTCTGCTGAACCACACATGTTAGGTCAGTGTTCTTCTGCTGAGCCACACATGTTAGGTCAGTGTTCTTCTGCTGAGCCACACATGTTAGGTCAGTGTTCTTCTGCTGAACCACACATGTTAGGTCAGTGTTCTTCTGCTGAGTCACACTTCTGAGCTTCTGCATTTAGTCATTTGAGTTAGCTCTCTACCATGGTCACCTTACATTTATAAATTCTACTAAAAGGGCAGGAAAGCAGTGAGCACAGAGTAGAAATGAACAAACAAATACACAATTACAAAAACCACCCCAAACCACCCGAACAAGCCGAGTGGTGGTGGTGCACACCTTTAATCCCAACACTCAGGAGGCAAAGGAAGATCTCTGTGAGTTCGATGTCCACAGATAAACCCTGTCTCAGGAAGCCAAAGAAAAAGAGAGAAAGAAAGAAAGAAAGAAAGAAAGAAAGAAAGAAAGAAAGAAAGAAAGAAAGAAAGAAAGAAAGAAAGAAAGAAAGGAAGAAAAAAGCACCCAAACAAACAACAAGAAGGGAACCATCAAAGGACCTAACACACCCAGATGGGGCAGATAGCTCAGCCAATGTATTTGTTTAGTTTCTATTGCTGTGATGAAAAACACTGACTGAAGGCAACTTGGGGAGGAGAGGGTTTATTTGGTGTACAGGAGTCTGTTTGAGACAGGCTAAGGCAGGAACTCAGCACAGGAGCCCGGAGGCAGTGCCTGGATCAGAGAACAGGCAGAAAGCTGCTCCCTGGCTTGCTTCCCTGGCTTGCTCGGCTACCTTTCTTACCGAGCCCAGGAGCACCTGCCTAGGGATGCCACTGCCCACAACGGGCTGGTCGATGACCAGTTAAGAAAATGCATCCCAGCCATGCCTAGGCCAGTCTATGGAGGAATTCCTCTATTGAAGTTTGAAGTTCCCTCTTCCTAGGTCACTCGACGTTGTGTCAACTTGACAAAAAATCGCCAGCACGGTGGGTAAGGGCAGTCGCTGCCATGCTGCCAGCCGCAAAAATATACAGAGTAGGCTTTCAGCTGACTATGGCATGCTACACTTGGAAGAAGCCGAGGGCCTTCCAGAGGTCAGGCTGAGGCCCAAGGAGCCTTGGTGATATTTGGCTTTTGATTATCAGCCGTTTCCTGCTATGAGTTTCTCGTGTGCTATTGTAGTTTTCCCATCATTTATTGGGCACCATTTCCCCTCTACTAAAGGAATATTTAGATAACCTTGTGCACTGACAGCGATGCACACCCAGAACCCCAGTTCAAGCCTCCCTGTAATTATCATTGGCAGCATCTGGTCAGGTCCATCCCCAGAGGGAGGAAAGTACCTTTTCAGAGATACCTCTGTACTCTTTAAGAACAGACTTAAGCATCCAGGCTATTTTGAGAAGGCCTGGCGGATGTGCCAATTAAGCTTTACTTCCTCCTTTCCCAAATCTTACCTCCAGTTCCAGATCTCCCTTTAACTATCACCAGAGGCATCTAGCTGTACACAGGTTGCCTAGCGACTGAGCACACTTTCCCCCACCCCGCAGAAAAACGGCAGATAGCTTGGACACATAGGAGCCACAGGAAAAAAGAAGACAGTTTTATTTTCTCCCATTGACCTAGCAACTTATAGATTCTTAACATTTTTCTACCAATCACGTTTAAGATTTTTATAGTTGAGCACATAAGGTCCCTCTTCTTAGATATTACCCGAATTTAGCTTTTAGTTAATTCATTTCCCCATTGGTCACTTCCCTTTGGGGTTGCAAATGATAATTAACTGTTATTGCCTCTGAATGTGATTGTTATCACCCCTCCATTTGACCCTGGAAGCCTGGCTTTGCACTGCCAAGGGATTACTGCTTGTAAGTGGAAGAACTAGATGGGTAAGAACTTGAGAGGAACAAACTGAGATGTGGAAGAATTAGATTGAAGGGCTAAAAGAGAATACTAGAGAAATGAGATGGAAGATGAGGAAGAGCCAGATGAGGAAGAACAAGAGGAGGAAGAAAAAGATGAGAGAAGGAGATGGGAGAGGAGCTGATATGGGAAAGAACTAGATGGATGACAGTCTAGAAGGGACAGAGCTAGATGAAGGAGTTAAGATAGAACCTGGGGACAACTGATAAATGTAAAGAGAAATTGGGCAAGAAAGGAGCTAAATATGAGAACAGAGTATAAGCTTGTAGAGAGAAAATTGACAGAATAATAAAATGTATGGACTAAGGAATTACATGTACATAGATTCATTTCCTTTCTTCAAAGATTGTCAGCTGGTTGTAGATTCTTCCCGGACCCTGGGAGGGGACTATTGAGGGGCTGGACCCCCGTAGTCTCCGATACTGCCAAGCCTGAGAAAGTGAGTTTGAGCCTTGGTGAAAGGTGAGACCTGAGCCGGGTGGTGGTGGTGGCGGCAGCGGCGCATGCCTTTAATTCCAGCACTCGGGAGGCAGAGGCAGGTGGATCTCTGTGAGTTCCAGGCCAGCCTGGTCTACAGCCAGGTCTACAGCTTCACAGAGAAACCCTGTCTTGAAAAACCAAAAAAAAAAAAAAAAAAAGTGAGACTGATACAAGTTGCCTTCTGACTTTCACATGAGCACACTATTTGTACACTCAAGTGCACACACACAATAAATAAATACATGTAATATAAAGCGTTTCAAAGTCGATCTTTGTTTTATAGGGGTAGTGGGAGAAGTCTTTGCAGCTGAGAACAGTAACTAGAGTAACTGGGGTGTAGCTGTTCATGAAGGCAGACTAGGAGGACAAATGGGAGGGCATGTACAGCCGTGGTCACCAACGAGGACCGTGAGAGAAGGGGGCAGGGAAAGTTTATTAAGGGCAAGAGGCAAAGAGTGGCACATGGAGACCATAGTGAGCAGTGCCTGGACGGGATGATGCAGGAGGGTGGCAAATGGCACCTAGTTTTTTCAGCATTTATAGTGACTGAGGGGGACATGGACGAGAGGGTGAAGGGAGCAGCTTGTCCCAGTGGCCAGCGCCTTAGGTAGGGTGGCTTGGGCCTTGACAGAGGTGCGCTTTTTTTGAGATTGGTTCTTTTTGTTTGGTATACATGCGTTCACATGTTCCTTTGCGCACGTGGAGGCCAGAGGTCCATGTGTTTTTTTTTTTATCACGTCTTTGCTCTGACTCACTAATCCCAGAGCTAAGTCAGCTGGGTGGGCTGGCTCAGGAGGTCCAAGAGCTCCTCTGCCTCCACTTCCCCAGGCCTGGGTTTACAGGTGCGCACTATCATTGCTCAGTTTTTACATGCATACCTGAGTTCCAAGAGGAGAAGGTAGAAGGAGATAGACCTCTGTTAAGGCCTCTGAACTTTATACATTGTGTGGCTACACACATATACACACAGAGTCAGAGAGACACAGGCACTGAGAAAGATGGAGAGAATGAACTCACTAGTATCTGTCCGCAGAGCCTGGGAACGTGGCTGGAAGGTAAGAGCACTGGCCGCTCCTGTAAAGGATCCAAGTTCAATTTCCAACACCCACACGAAGGCTCACAACTCTCTTAACTCCAGTTCCAGAAGATTCAACACCCTCTTCTGGGCACCAGGCACACGTGTGGTGCACAGACACATGCAGTCAAAACACCCATACACATGAAGAAAAAATTCATCCGCACACCCACCTCAGGAAAACCTGGTAGCCCACCACTTGGTGGCGCTGTCAGAACAGGCATGTCATTTCAGATGGCCTCGTTTCCCTCCTGGGTCAGAAGCGGCTTCGGTCTGTCTGGTTGAGATCTCAAGCCACCTAGAAAGTGATTTACACATTTTCCTTCAATTTCAGCCTTTGGGTGAGACATATCCAAGACCTGTAACCGAGTGAAAAGACAAAGTTGACACCAACTCGTGTTACCTATTATTTATTGGTATGACGGCAATAAATTCCTGTAGATACACAGGATATGAAGGAGGGGGACCTGGGTGGATGAGTTTTGTTCTTTCATATTTTGTCTGGAATGTGGCCTTTTATTATTTATTTATTTATGTATGTATGTCTGTGGTACTGGGGTCCGACCCAGGGTCTCCTGACGTTAAGTAAGCACTCATCACCGAGGCAATGTATATAAACCCTGGGTAGCCTGGTGCCATGGCCTCGTCTGGAATCCAGCTACATCAGTTCAAAGTCAGCCGGGGCATCCTAGCGAAACCGCTTATTTTAAAAGAACAAAGAGGAGGCCGGGAGACGACTCGGCAGCCCGGGGATGTGAGTCTGCGCCCTCGGCCCGCGGCGAGGAGACCGGGACCAGTGCGATCGCCGCGCGCACGGGCCAGCCTCCCCGTCCACGGTCCCGCAACGTCCCGGCCGGAGCGGCAGGGCGCATGCGCACGCGTGCGACCCGGAGCCAAGGAAGGGCCGCCCCTGCTCCACTGAGTCACATGATAACGGTCGCTTGGAAAAACCGCCATTGGGAAAAAACAAAACAGATGAGTCTCATCAGGTGATGCCGGTCTGCCAATAGGGGAAACCAGACACGGAACGACAACAACAAAAAATGTCCCTGTCACATGACGAAAGCGGGGGGTCCAGCCACTGTCATGTGACTCAGCAAACCCGTGAGGACAGAGGCCGGGCACTGACGTCACACAGCCGGGCGCAGCCCCCGGGCCGGGGTCACGTGGCGAGGCCCCGCCCCCTG